CTCAGTTGGTTAGAGGGCTGCACCGGAATCGCAGAGCCACATGTTCGATTCCTGCCAGAGGACCTATAGTTGCAACCAGGTGATCTCGTGTTCATATTTTAGCCAATCAGCGCTCAGAAAGGGTTGTCCGAATAGAAATCCATTTCGATGTATTCAGTCAATTATATCTTTCGTTATTCTTTATGAAACTAGTTGAAATTTTGTAATTATGTTTGGTTATGAGAACTATAGCTCTGACAAAAATATGGAATCGAAATAAAGTATATTACAGGAGATGTTCAGTTGTTTTAATCATAAAATGGATTTCTATTTGACAACTAGTGCCAGTACTTTTCCGCGTATCAAGATCACCTGGAAGAACCTCTAGGACTTACTTGACCTCCTCCATACCGCTGGTCAGTTGGTTTTGAAGATTTATGATGCTGTTCACTTCTTGTCTGGAAATAGAGTCTTTTCCTCCACCTCCCAAATTTTCTACGGACATGATTCTTTGAAGTTCATTGATTTGTGTTGTCAAATCTCCAGTTTTCATGTGTAAATTACTGCAATTTGAAGGAAATCCAATGAAGACAAGCAAAAACAATTTACTTTTTGAAAAAAAGGTGATCGTCTTCATTTGAAGACCACAAATTACTTTTAAGGCTAGAGCTCGACAACTGGCCTCTATAGGTCAGTTGGTTAGAGCACTGCACCGGAAATCGCAGGGTCGAAATGTTTAATTGTTTTAAATAAGGTGGAACCAGTGAACTCTAAAAATAACTGGAAGGCTAACTCCTATGATGAAAGTCTATGATTCGTTGAAGCCGGCGCGCGGGAAAATCAGCTTTCAAAAAGACTAAGGAGAGTTTCGAGGAGTGAAAAAAATTCTGCCAAAAGTTTGTTTTCGAGCAAAAATTTGCAAGAAAAACACTTTTTCCATGGGAATACAACAATGATTGGGATTTAAACCAAGTTTTCCGATTAGTTCCAACTGTTTTACATCTCTCTGCAGCAAAAAGTAAGCAGTTTTGCTTTTGTATTTTGAAAAAATGACGAAAGTTTGGACGTACCGAAGGAAATCTCGCCGTTCAACTCAAAAATATATACTATAAAACATTTTGACAGTCCCAAAACTTATGTTGTACTAAACCCCAGGTATTGTTATTGATCCTGAGCTTTTAGTCCTTGTTTTAGTCGCTCTTAAACATAAATAAATTGGCGTTTTTCAAGTGATGTTATTTTCGTCATCGGCATCTTGTTGACCACTATGAGCACTTTGAATATGGCAATATTTTTGTCAATTTTCAAATGCTTTTTTTTCGACTTTAAAACGTTAAATCTTCTTGAAACTTCGCATACAGATGTATTTTGCATGGGTATAAAATATTCCTGAGGTATGACGTCTTAGTTTTATCTTAAACTTCCAAAAACTCAGAAAAAGCAGCCTAAAACGCGCGGTTTTTCAGACCGTTCATGCTTATGGTCGTGTTTTTCGCATTTTTTTCGCTAATTCGTGATTTGTTTGCTTTGCGAATATTAAATTCATTTATCATACTACTGATATAAATTAAATTTGGTACTATAACTAATATTTTGGGGCAAGATTTTTCTGATCAAAAAATGTGCATATTTTGAAAAAAAAATTTAAAAAGGACTGGGTCTACCTACAAAAAAAAGCTTCAAGCACGGCTTCAACTACCCCCCTGACTACCCAGCGCCTTTTCGTCGATATTTGCGAAAATCTTGCTTCAATCAATCTATTCTATTAGCTAGGAAATCGTATAATCAAATACTCACTAAAGAATTTAAAGACTTTTAAAGACTTTCTTCGCTTTTTCACACAATTCAAAAACTTTTCAAAGACCTTAAAGGCCTGCATTCAAATTTAAAGACTTTCAAGGATTTCAAAGACCGCTACGAACCCTGATAAATGTATACAAATTTCACTTGAAATCTCAATTTACAAAACCCTCCTAGTTCTATCAAGCGAGAAGCTCAAAATGCTGATATTCTTGGTAAGCATTGGATGTCAATTTCCACTATCTTGGCACAGATTAAGTATGACCAGACGTGTAATTTAATAGGACTTCGTGTCCTCAAATTCCCTAGATGTACACGCCATGACACTTGCCAGCAAAATGGCGTTCTGAAAAACACGAACTTTTGCACTTTATTGCAGCCTTTTTGGATCGAAATTTTTGGATTAAACAATCAATGTTGAAAAGCATTTTTGAAAGCGGAACGTATTTGCTAGGAAGATGGCGACCGTGGGACAACTTTTTCACTGAAGTTACACATCTGGAATTCTTTTCCGGCTGATAATTTCAGCAAAAATAAAACAAAAGTTATTCCGAATAAGGAGTGCATAATATTAACACACAATTTATTAAAACTGTATATTTCGAATCTAAATCAGATTCATCTTCAGCAGTGTTTTGCAAGATATGTCGTTCATAAACGACATATCTTGCAAAACAAGTTCATAAACGACATATCTTGCAAAACACTGCTGAAGATGAATCTGATTTAGATTCGAAATATACAGTTTTAATAAATTGTGTGTTAATATTATGCACTCCTTATTCGGGATAACTTTTGTTTTATTTTTTCACATCTGGTCCATACTTAATCTGTGATCTTGGCTTCATTTGTCTCACAGACCGAATAGTTCAGATATATATAGAGCACAGTGACTAATACCTGTAGGTAGACACTCTCTTTGCCGTTTTCCGATTGCCACCATTTTTTTTCATTATCTGTAAACAATATCTCCATGTATTTGGGTAAATGTGAGTACGTATCACCTGAGGTGAGACGAGAATCGCACCAATAACAATTGCCTCCCCCTTGGAGGTTAGAAATGACACAGAAGCGCTCGGCACGGCCATTGGTACCACACGTAGAGCTCGCGTATAATGTATTTCCTCGTCCTACCAGAAGATCTCCCGTGGAAGGATAGCAAGCACTGCCGATACAGTTATCTTCGTCTTCTTTAGGATTGCCTTGACTTGATATTAAATCTGTGAAAAAGTCATGGGAATTAAACCACAGCCAAGACTAGAGATTGCTTTCTTTCACAACCATCCTCAGAGATATGAAAAACAAGTTTTATATTAATCTCAAATCATTAATAATTCCTGAGTAAATTAGCCAACCATAGTGCTTTATTTTGCTCACGTGATAATACTGGACACCTGGTGAAGTATATTGATCCAAGTCCTAGAACTGGATCAAAATTAATTCACCTAAGACAACGACCTACGTTTAAAAACATTTTCAAACGATTTGATGAAACTTAAGTGAAACAATTAACATATTTATGGACATGTAGTGTGTTTTGAACACTTTATAACAAGTTCATATAAAATAACTGTCAATGCTTCTATCAACAACTTGGCAACAAGCAAACAAAGCGCTGAAATTCACTCAATGTTATGAACAAGCCTTATAAGGAAAGATAAATAAATACGAACGTGCTAGATTAATACGAAGAAGCTATGAGTAGTTAATACTGTCCAAGGCTGTGGTTTTGGCAAGTTACCAACTCTTTCGTGATCTTTCTGTCAACACTGGCCAACATAAATATGCGCGTTTGATCTATTTCAATTAAATACGTGAGCGCGACCGTTTCATACCAAACATCTGCGCGTGTCTTTTCTCCAATCGAGCTATCTTTTTAGGCTAGATACATGTGCGTCATAGTGATGTTTTTCACCAAAACATAACTTTTTTCTATAATATGTCTTTGAAAATGACATTCAAGTATTGTCATGTTGTAGATACAGGTATATTGGGAAACCTTTAGATCCGTCCCAAAACACAAATCAAACGATGACGTAAATGGTGAATGCACAGTTACCTGCATGCCTCATAATTTGCGGGTATATAGCCCGCGCGTTTAATTATATATAGCTAGGAGAGTGGATTACACCGCGATCGTGTGGTGTCATGTTGAATTTCTGACATGCGAAGTCCGCTCAGTAGCGCTACCATGCTTGTTCAGTAGCGCTACCATGCTTGTTCAGTAGCACTACCATGCTTGTTCAGTAGCGCTACCATGCTTGTTCAGTAGCGCTACCATGCTTGTTCAGTAGCGCTACCATGCTTGTTCAGTAGTGCTACCATGCTTGTTCAGTAGCGCTACCATGCTTGTTCAGTAGTGCTACCATGCTTGTTCAGTAGCGCTACCATGCTTGTTCAGTAGCGCTACCATGCTTGTTCAGTAGCGCTACCATGCTTGTTCAGTAGCGCTACCATGCTTGTTCAGTAGCGCTACCATGCTTGTTCAGTAGCGCTACCATGCTTGTTCAGTAGCGCTACCATGCTTGTTCAGTAGTGCTACCATGCTTGTTCAGTAGTGCTACCATGCTTGTTCAGTAGTGCTACCATGCTTGTTCAGTAGTGCTACCATGCTTGCTCAGTAGCGTTACCATGCTTGCTCAGTAGCGTTACCATGCTTGTTCAGTTGCTACCATGCTTGTTCAGTGCTACCATGCTTGTTCAGTAGCACTACCATCCTTGCTCAGTAGTGCTACCATGCTTGCTCAGTAGCGCTACCATGCTTGCTCAGTAGCGCTACCATGCTTGTTCAGTAGCGCTACCATGCTTGTTCAGTAGCGCTACCATGCTTGTTCAGTAGCGCTACCATGCTTGTTCAGTAGTGCTACCATGCTTGTTCAGTAGTGCTACCATGCTTGTTCAGTAGTGCTACCATGCTTGCTCAGTAGCGCTACCATGCTTGCTCAGTAGTGCTATCATGCTTGTTCAGTAGTGCTACCATGCTTGTTCAGTAGCGCTACCATGCTTGCTCAGTAGCGCTACCATACGAAACAAAAACTGATCGACATTGATACGTTAATTTTTTTTTTCATTCTTCTTTCATTACATGCATTCACCCTTCTGCGTATAATAGATAACGCAATTTATGAAAAACAGGGCTAATTCCACACACAAACTTCAAGAGCGTCAATCGTCAAAGCTTTGTTGAGCTATCATTAATGTATCATCGTTCAACGAAGTCCTGAATTGTTCGCGTCATACGAGTAAAATATCAATTCAAAGGTCAAAGCGCAGCAAATGGTAATCAATGACCACTGCTTGTCAATTCGCGCCAAACAGACAGACATGTAATTTTAAACTTGCCTCTGGCTATTAACAGCTGACCGCAACTGGCCTCGTCGTCAAGTAAAACATTTTATAGTCCAGTTTAAACAAAGCCAGTTGCGAACCCTTGGGGACGGGGTAATTTTGGGAGGGGGGGGGGCAATATTAGGAGGGGGTTAGGTTACCAACAGATTAACACCTCCTTGGCGGTAGAAATAAATGTCATGCAATATATTGCTTCATGTATAGCCTACCGGCGCTTTCATGGCTGAAAAATTATAGTTACATTTTGTTAGACAGTTGTTCAGCTATTTCAAACTCATTATGAGTAAATTAGGCAACCATGGTATGTTGCTTTATTTTGTTCACATGGTAATACTGGATACCTGGGTAAGTATATTGTTACAGTCCTAGGACTGGATCAAAATTAATTCGCTTCACTTGAAGTAGTGATTTATTCGTACGAGATCGCAAATCCTCTAATTCGACTAGATTTCAAGTCACAATTTCGTCATTTTTTTTTTTATTAACTTTACAATCATATTATATAAAAAATTTTTTATTAACTTTACAATCATATTATATAAAAAATACACATACAGCTATGATTGAAGGATTGGACAACAGAACTAGAATCCCATGCTAAGTCCATCCATCTAACACTAAAACACGACATATTACGGACTACAAACTGGACAACGTAAATACTGATTTTACAGGCCTTTATACAATATAAAACATGCAAGAATAAATACATAACTACACTACTGTGAAATTATTTGTGAGGTTCAGTTTTGACCACCACCACCACCAGCTCTACTAGTTAGAAACCACGAACCACTTACATGCAAACCAGGTCAGCGCGAGGTAGTGATAGCGGTAATGAAAGTCATAGTCGGATATGAAATATTACATCACTCACAGGCTTTCAGGAACTATTGGAGGGGGAGAAAGTGCGGGGTTGCCAAGCTATAATGCTAATGAATTACCACCGAAAGCATGTTTCACGCTACAGTACGAAAGCATGTTTCACGCTACAGTACGAAAGCATGTTTCACGCTACAGTACGAAAGCATGTTTCACGCTACAGTATTTCAATGTGCGGCACGTTTATGTTCATTACATCGCAGGATGAACGAGGAAGGCATGCCAAGGACATGTGGTGATGACTGCTTGGGAATCTCATTAATTTCTGACATGCCTTGCATTGTGTACATGAAATACCATGTAGTATTACAGTAAATATTACACCAGCTTTAGCTTACACGTTTTTACTATGATATACAATGGCAGTTTGGGGAATATGTTTTATTTATTGATATCCAAAGAGGAAACCAAGTCCAAATTAAATTGTTAATCTCAAGCAGTTTTGTAATTTGCTTCACTCCAGGGTTTTCTTTTTGCTAATAATTGAATTAATATCGACTGAGAATCCGATTTACACAAAGTTTCTTTGTACTGTGGACAGACAGGCTTTTTGCTGGACATAGACAGGCTTTTTGCTGAACATAGACAGGCTTTTTGCTGGACATAGACAGGCTTTTTGCTGGACATAGACAGGCTTTTTGCTGGACATAGACAGACTTTTTGCTGGACATAGACAGACTTTTTGCTTGACATAGACAGGCTTTTTGCTGGACATAGACAGGCTTTTTGCTGGACATAGACAGGCTTTTTGCTGGACATAGACAGGCTTTTTGCTGGACGTAGAGACTTTTTGCTGGACATAGACAGGCTTTTTGCTGGACATAGACACGCTTTTTGCTGGACACAGACAGGCTTTTTGCTGGACATAGACAGGCTTTTTGCTGGACGTAGAGAGACTTTTTGCTGGACATAGACAGGCTTTTTGCTGGACATAGTCATAGATAAAATTTTTCCAAAAATATCATTGTTAAAAGTTGAAAATTTTCAACTTCAAAATTTTTTTCCGACTGAAAATTTGTGTCGGCCAATCACATTTTACAAAATTCTCTTTCTGCGGAAAATTTTCTGAGTGGAAATGGACCTTTAATCCGCGGAGATACGGCATCATTGAGACATTGACAACAGACCTTTCCCTATGAGTGAAATTTTGATCTAGATATGCCTGGGCAAAATTTCATCACAGCTTGAAAGAGCATCACAAAATCATCAGTCATTTTGCATTACAATCTAACATTTTGCATCAGTTTGATCATCTGATTATCAATTTCCCTTTCGTAATACCAAATGACTGAAAAACGGCAAACTTCGCAAGGCTATATTATCCGCATTTTACAACATTTCGCAACGAAACTTCGGAATATTACTAATTTTGTGGTGCTCTTTCAAGTTGTTGCCCAGACTTGTCTAGATC